GGAACCTCAAAATCTCATAACCATATGGGTCTCCATGGCCTGTTACAGGGATACCTTTACTTACTAATCCTATACACAGTCGGTAGGACTCCTTGGAAGGAGGATCAGCCTCGTCACAAGGCCGCTACCTACACACAGAGAAATACAAACACAGAATAAACGCAGACAAATATCTATGCCTTCAGCAGGACTAGACCCCACAATTCCAGTGTTCGAGCGAGCGAAGACAATTCATGCATTAGACCGCGTGGCCATTGTGACCAACAGTAGCTAGACTATAGATATATAGCGTCTAATGTTAGAATAATAGATGAATGATAAATTGAAAGGATATGGAAGGAAGCGATTGTAGCATAATCGAAGTATTTTCCCGACATTTGCATGGAGAAACCAAGGAAAACAACGGAAATATCTCAATCAGGAAGGTAAGTGTTCCGACCGTGATTCGAAGGCAGCATCTCCTGACTACGTTTCAAGATCATTACAGCTATGCGAGTGTATTCAGTTGCGAAGTTATTCTTGCATCATTAATTCGTGACTTGGTTATAGTTTACGCTGTTCCTGTGTATATTGCTAGAGGCTGACTCACTTCGTGTCGCATTGCCCTAGAAACTTCTGCGCCATAGCTGGCGGCTTCTCACCCCCCTCACCCCCAGTGTTTCTGTCTCGTCATCTAATTCATCATCCCGGCAAATGGAAATTATCATACGTAACCATCAGCAATTTGACTGAATTATTCCCATTCCAAAAATTCGATCTTTAGCTCTAGACGTGCATCAGCTTCAAGGCACCAAACGTTTATTTGAAAAATTCTGGGATTTCTTTATCCTGACAACTTTTTTTTCCATAAAATCTTAAAAAATTAAACACTGAAACAGCACCTCAAAATAGGCCGTTACCGTTTCCTTTCATATCCTATCTATTTCAGTGTTCACAATAATCCCCCCTTCCGACATTTCTTTATAAAATTTAGTTGAGAAGACTTTAAATAAAGCAATGAAAGTAGAAATTTCGCATTCAGACGTAAGTACGAAATTTATAGAGACATTTTCCCCGGAAAAAATTAGGTTTCTCGTCCAAGACAGATGTTAGAATGAGATACAACGGATAATTGCAGTGACTGACGTAAATCTAATTAAAATATATGTGGTCTGATATTCTCACAGCGGTCGTTATGATGAGTTCTGTCTTCTGTTACATAACAACTGACGTTTCAGGGGAATGTGTCGTCTCCATTAGTTCGCTCACAGTCAACCGATGTTTCACAGGAATGCGTGGCTACCTGCGTCATGTTGATTTCTTGCAAGGATTAACCTTCCACCCTGAAGCTGGAGGGGATATGTTCCTCCGATACGTCGGTTTGTGTTTCAACGGACTGCACAACGGTATACAACTCTTAGGGCGAGGGCACTCCGAGGAAACTGGCAACCGCAACGCAACCGAAATTTCCAAGAATTTCTATCAGCCTGAGTTGAACACATGTTACTGAACGGAGCAGCGGAAATTGAGGAAACGTTGCGGTTGCGTTGCGGTTGCCAGTTTCCTCGGAGTGCCCCCGCCTCTATGGTTCAAATATTTAGGCCTACCTAAAAGCATGACAAAGGAGAAGTTCATGGAGGTAGGCCTAGGGCCACCGGAGCTGTAGTGCCAAGGAAGAAAAACATGACAAAAAATAGGAACATTTTTCTTGAAAATTCTGAGTTTGTATTTTTATAGAAATTTAACAGAATGCTGGGTATATATAAGCAAGCTTCCGTTTCTCAGCATCAGACCGTGAAAGTATATGTGACTGGGAGTGGAGGTAAATCCCCTAGCACTCTTAACCTAGAGACTAGGTGGTCAGTTTCACAGGCTGCACCGACAAATTAGGCATTGAATCATTATCGCAGCGCATCTTCCGAAGACGGCAGCAATAATTCATGTACTAATAACATAAACAATAGAAGAATTTGTACAAGTTCAAGATACGCCGCATTAGGGACAGAGAAATCATAAAGTAGTTGAAAACGAGCAAAAAAAAAAAGGGATCGATTCCTGTTAGGGGTAGAGATTTCCGTCTTCGCCCCTACGTCCAAAATTGGTTATGGAGCCCCTAAGTCCCATATTCGAGAGTCAGGCCTTCTTCCATGGTTTTCAACCCTGAGCTGAAGTAAATGCAGCCTCAGTTTTAGGCACCCTTCTATAAGTTAGGCGGCAGCGATAAGGCGGTCGGAGCATGAAACTAAGCAATTATCTAAATTTAATGACGATGTTAAGAATATTTAGAATTTTAGCTTCAAATTGGCATATGTCTTCATGGTCTGGCCCTCAACCATAGGAACAATTATTTTTATTTACTTTTATCAAGGTTTGTTCCTTTGTCTAAGTGTTATTTAATTACAGCGGACACTTCATTCTGTCGAGTATGCAGTTGTCAGAGTCGCTTAAGATAGAATAGGCAGACACAAGTAACAGATTTCAACAACGAAAGTGGTAATTAACATAGCATATGAAGAATGCCGTCTTCTGGGATGTGGCGCCATGTAGATCTTATGTGAACCGACGTTTCGGAGAAACGCATGGCCTCTATCTTCAGGATAGAAAAATCCGCGAGCGATGAAGCAGCGTTAGCAGGTGGCTGCAGACTGAGCCACCAGTCGAAAACACCCAGCTATATAAAAACAGGAAGGGTGGGAGAGTGAACCACGTGGGAAATCAATAGAGAGGAGAGGGGAAGCGTCTGTGGAGATGGGCCAGCAGGTAGTAGGCCAGAGCCAGTATAGGATCGTGTCGGGAGGCGACACGTTCCTCCGAAATGTCGGTTCACACAAGATCTACAAGGCGCCACATCCCAGAAGACGGCATTGTTCATAGTCACAGCCGCGAAAACCTCAGCTCTTACACAACATAGCATTTGTTCCCAAAGTATCAGTTGCACAGATATTGTCAATGTAGGCGTGCATTTGTACATGTACTGAGGTAGGGGAAATATTGAGTAGATTCACAACATTCTGCATACTAGACGTCCCTCGTGTGTAAATAATTCTATAGAAGCAAGTACAGTTTTTGCCTTTCTTTTTTTATATTTCGGGCATTACCAACCACCATCAGAAGACATCCGACAGTATAAAGGAACTACTTTGCATGCGTTGTCTCAATATGATTTATCACTATAGTATCTTGAACGTGCATATAATATATTACCGTACACTTCTTTCCTTCTCACATTTAAATTTCCTAAAATGTCATTAAAATCACACTGTTAACAGTTGCCTGAGGATGGCCTTATGGGGCCGAAACATGTTGCAATAATTAAAAAAACGATTTTAACGCCACTGGGAAGACGAAGAAGTAGGTGGATGGACAATAATAAAATGTATCTTAGAGATATAGAATGGGATAGTATGGATTTGTTTGATCTGTCTCAGGATAGGGACCAGTGGAGGGCTCTTGTGAACACGCTGATGAATCTTAGGGTTCCATAAGATTGCTGGGAAGTTCCTGAGTAGCTGTACAATTCGCGGCTTCTCAAGAAGGGCTCAGTTCCATGAGTGAGTGCGATTTTAATGATATTTTAGGAAATATAAATATGTTTAGAATGACGTTTTAAAAAAAGCGGTCGAGTGATTCTGAAATATAATATTATGGACATAAGAGTAAAGAGTTGATACACAAAAACCGAGTTAGAAGGTCTTGTTGATTAGACAGAAGGATGTAATTTAAGGCCCTCGTATCTATTGTTGGCTACGTACAATATCTTATCAACTCTTGTGTTGTGGGCCGTAAGCCCGTGCGTGTGATGTGGTGTGCAGTCCAACGAAGGAAGTGGTGGAGTGTGGGATGCACCGTGCTACACTTACTCCTGTAAAAATAGTTACTTTTAACGGAATTTTACCACATTTTGTTGATTGTAAAGTGTAACGGTTCAAGATGCTTCTTATAAAGGTATTTTAATTTTTATATTTTTAGTTTATTTTCAATTCCAAAGTAGGTAAGGAAGACATTTTGAGACCAACAACTGGGAATGAGGGTTTGTATTAAATTATTAATGATAATGAAGTTAGAGTAGTAAACTTTGCCACATCCAAAAATCTGATTCTCAAAATTACAGTGTTCCCAGAAACCACTAGGGAGACCAAGATGTAGGTGGGTGGATAATATTAAAATAGATCTTAGAGCGATAGGATGTGGTGGTATAGACTGGATTGATCTGGTTCAAGACAGGGACCAGTGGAGGGCTTTTTTTAACACGGTAATGAACTTTCTGGTTTCATAAAATGCTGTGAAGTTCTTGAGAAACCGTACAATTGACGGCTTTTCAAGAAGGGCTCAGTTCCGTGAATTTAATTAATTAATTTATTTAATGACGCTGCCAGTAACCCAGACTATATAGTATCGGTATATTTTAACAATATATATTTATATTTCCAATAATATCAAAACAAAGAAGTGTACATGTAAGTTTTGAGGTTTTCACGGCGATGACTATGAAGAAAGTCGTCTTCTGGGTTTAGGCGCCGTGTATTCTTAGTTTTGGCCGACGTTTCGGAGGAACGTATCGCCTCCATCTTCAGAGAAAGTGAATGGCTTGGAATGCAGAGAGCAGTAGTCACAGTTACAGTTACTGCTCTCTGCATTCCAAGCCATTCACCTGCTCTGAAGATGGAGGCGATACGTTCCTCCGAAACGTCGGCCAAAACGAAGAATACACGGCGCCTAAACCCAGAAGACGACTTTCTTCAAAGAAGTGTACAGTTTACCAAAAAACGAATTTAGAAAATGGCCGACATGCATACCTTCCCACTCCCTTTAGCAGGCAGTGAAAACTTGCGTTGATGAATCAGATGGAATAATATCGCAATCCTTGCCTAACCATGACGTAAAGAGGGGAAGCACTCCTCTCGATACTGCCCGTACCAGCTCTGGGCTACCTCACTGCCACCAAAACCCTGCCGGATTCCCGCAATTCGCTCTGCTTTCCTTAACTGCTGACCTTCGGAAAAGTTTCGGAAGTAGAAATATTTCTCCATCTTCCTTTAGACAGTGTCTAACGCTTATTCACTTACACGCATTCGCATTAATTCAAAATGCATCTAGATTTGTTGATGTAACAACGTCGTCATGTTATCCCACGCGTTAATACCATTGCTACATTCGATATGATGCTCTGTTGTTCCGTGATACCGTTTATTGTTACTTAATCAACATTCCCTCACCTCACTCATTGGCTGGTGCGTTAGGGGAAAGAAGGAGCAAGCAAGTATTCACAAAGTGTAAGGAGACAACGAAAAGTGTGGAACATTCAGTTCAGCAGCAGCTGACAAGAGTCAAGGCACCAATTGAGAGATTCGTTCTTAATCGCGAGAATATAAGTTGCTTCCCGCAAAAGTGAGGTAAGTCGGTACTGGCAGCTTAAAACTTAAAAATCAAATGATTGTATTATTATTATTATTATATAGACTGTCATATTTGTATTTTGTTCTTTGTATTTCTGTGAACTTGTGCTAACTTTGTATTTGGCAACTGTGGTGTTAAGATTGTACGTAAATGAACACGAATTGAATTGAATTACCTGTTAACAATTTGATAAAATTCAATTAAACCGTGCACGACATGTTTAATATGTATATACCGGATACGGAGAAATTATTGTATTGATAAAGTTCTGAAGAATATGTAACATTTAAGATACTAATGCTAGTTAATGTGAATTCCATAAAAATGGACTACTTAAATGTGGTCCCTGCCACTAATACACATTTCTGCTGTGGGTTAATGTTGTTTCTCCAATAACATAATTGATTGCACACGAAGATGCGTGTAAATATATGTACATGCACGCAATACACTTGCATTAGTCACTGGTGCTTGTGTATATACAGTAGTGCGTCCACACACACACAAACACACACCTACATACGTATATGTAGACTTCTCGTTGATTATAATTAATACAAATGAAGATTATATATAAAATATACGTACGTGTATAACAGTAGTATATATGTAAGATCTGAGGTTTTCACGGCGGTGACTATGAAGAATGCGGTCTTCTGGGATGTGGTGCCGCCGAAGTTTCGGAGGAACATATCGCCTCCATCTGCAGGGTAGAAAGATCCGCGAACGAGGAACCAGCTGGAGGTGATATGTTCCTCCGAAACATCAGTTTATACAAGATCTACACGGTGCTACATCCCAGAAGACGGCTTTCTTCGGTAGTACACATGTCTCCCTACTTCCTAGTGATTGTGTTTCGGTTTAATGTATGATGTATGTGGCTTGAAGCAACAGGCAGATATACAATTTTAAGAAAGACATTGAAAATGTGGTAGAGTTAAAACATTTTGGAAAGAAAGTAACAAATAAGTTACGGACAGATTAAATTTGGGGGAAAGCTGAGTACTATTGAGTTGAAATTCTTTTTATTTCCTTCCCACTGTCAGGAACCAAATTTAGAACTCAGGGTTACAGAACTGTACTTCCGCCTGCTGTTTTACGTTTATGGGTATGAATTGTAGCCCATAACCGTCGGGGATGAACAAAGACTGAGGGTGCTTGAGAACAAAGCGCCGAAGTGAATATATTGACGTAAGAGAGAAAATAACAGGAAGATGGAAACATTTGCATAATGAGTAGTTTCATAATTTCTAAACTATTCTTCATCAAAAATTATATTTGAGTGATTAAGCTCATGAACACCGGAGCCTGTAGCATGCATAAGAGGTTTAGTCGTAGATGGAAGGATAAAGCTGGAATTATCTCAAAGAAATAGTGTATGAGAATGTACAGTGAACTTAGCTGGATTAGTACTGGTATTTAGTCGCGGGTTCAAGTCCCGATGAGGTCATTGGATTTTTTCAATTGACCTAATCTTTCCAGCCGCATTATGGCCTTGGGGTCGACTCAGCCTCTAACAGAAATGAGCACCAGGAATCAATTAAATAATTTTCCTGAGGAGTAAAGCGCGGCGGCGCGTAAGGCTGACAACATTACCGCCATCTTTGAGCCGATTGTCTAGATAATGTAGGAGCCTCAACGTCTCACAACCCTATGGGCCTCCACGGCCTGTCACAGGGATAGCTTTACTTTTTTAGTACTGGGTTAAATTGGCGTCTATGCTTTGTATAAGATATCTTAAGCGTACGTCATAAACAGATAGTGACTTCGATAATTACACCAACATTACATTACTATATTCTATTCCCAGCATACAATGGGAACTCTTAATCTCGTTGAACTTATAAGAATTTTTTTTCTAAGGTTGCTTACCCCACGTATGGCGCAACCATCAAAGATATCTTAGACAAAAATATAAACAAGGTAATACAGCTTCCAGTTACATATAAGATAGAAAGTTTCTTTATTGGCTAAGTTACTATCAGTTTCTCAAGACGGATTTTGCCCCAAACGAATTTTTTTAATATTCAAATACGTTTCCGAGGATTTGTGTCAACATTAATGTGTAAATAAAATATATCACACCATGAATGCGAATCTGACATTTTGAAATAATGTATTGATAAACAGATGCACAATATATTACGATGGCCCGTGTAATACAACAACATACGTACGACACGGATAACTGTAGAACTCTGTTCTTGGAGACTGAAAATAAAATAAAAAAAATAATAAGTCTAGGTTAAAAATGTCAGAATTTCCATTGTAATTTAGGACTTCAAAGTACCAAAATACATGTAAACCGACACAGATAAGACTATATTTAATGAGGGACGGTTAAAATACGCAAAACCATCTTCCATTTACACATTGGATAAATTTGTATTCATTTTTACTTATCAAATAATATTACATTCCTGACATATTTGGGTCATAAAATCACCATGTTCAGGGGGAGACGAAATATTAGAGGAAGTTTTATAATATGTATACGTAAAATATTTTAAACATCCAGGTCATTTTATGTAATATAAAATTTCCTTTAATGTCTGGTCTCCCATCAGTAAAAGAGAAAATAAATTAGATACACTTGGATGGTGATCTCGCATATTATTTTAATAGAAGAAATATATCGGGAAAAACGTAAATTTGGGAGATCTTCTGTGTATATCCGTGGTTTTCTATCGTAATAAAACAATCGCCCAGTTGTCATATAGGCTGCCAGCTCTGAAGGGGAATATGTATTAATCAAACGAACACATTAGCATGATGGCTGACAATCCAGGAACTACAACCAACTACAAAAACAAAAAACAACGAACGCCGTGCCTTTAGTCCGCAAGCGAACTATACCGACCGAGCGACCGCCGCTTGTCGGCGAAGTTTAGTGCCAACTTTTGCGGATAGATGAGGTTAAATGTTTTCATCATCGAAATCAGCTGTTATGATACAAAGAACACAATAATAATGCTGTAACAATCGTTCACTTATTTCCGTCTCTAAAACAATACAGGTCGTTCATAGTCTCTCCTTTATTTTAAAATGTCATGAAAATCGCATTTAACTGCAACATGTTTCGGCCGTACAAGGCTATTTATGCTATAACCTGACTTAACGTCCAGCGTCGATGGAAACTTACACACAGCCCCAGGCGACTAGGAAATTTGCCCCCCCCCTCAGGTAACTCTTTAAAGCCAAATGGTCATTATATATACCACTTAATTTAACATAGTAAAACTCTGCACTCTGCCAACAGAATGTAGTATTTGGTGTTCACTATGTTTCTCACAATAAACAGCGACTGTTTCCCTAAACAGCATTAACCGGTTGGGCTTTGTTATGGAGAAGTGATGTGTTTCCTGTGAGGTACGGACTGAATTTTTATATATATTATTTAGAACATATGCGGTCTTTAAAGGGTTAGGAACAAACTATCAACTTCTAAACTTCCTCATAATTAATAACAAAAAAAAAAAATACACTGCGAAAAAAAACGTAGTTGGTGTCTCAGTACTTACTTACTTACTTAATCATGGAGCTGAACCTTTCTTGAGGAGCTGCCAATTCTGCAGCTACTCAAGAATTTCCCAGAATATTATGGAACCCGAAGGTTCATCTCAGTACTCAAAAAGAATATATTTATATTTTTCATGACGTATTTAAATTACTGAAGATTAATTGTCGTAATATGAGCAAAAGGACACACATACTCAGAATGGTTTATAAAATATGGCGCGCAAGACAGCCGCTTGGCTCGGCTAACTGCATTGCGCTGCCCCGTACTGTGCTATCTTCCCGGCCGGTTCTGCTGGTGAATCTCTTTCCTTGTCTTTTTTTATCTTTACGAAAAATTGCGCTCGAGCTGTTACATCTCATGTGTATTCCTCAAAGTTGGTCGCTTATACAAGGACTCCCCGACCTGTAGTCCGCAAGCGAACTATACCGACCGAGCGACTGCCGCTTATCGGCGAAGTTAGTGCCAATTTTTGCGGATAGAGGGTGTCACGTGGCCAGCGCAACGGATCCCCATGGCTGTTAATCTTGGTTTTCTAGACCGGAGCCGCTATTTCCTTGAAATAGCTTCTCAATTAACCTCAGGAGGCTGAGTGGACCCCGTTCCAGACCCATAACTTCTCAGAAAAATCTGGTAGGGCAGGGAATTTAACCCGGGACCTCTGGATCTGTAGTCAGGAACTCTGCCCACTAGACCACAGAGGCAGTCTGGTTATGAGTGAGTGTAGCTTTATTTCCACTCCCAATACATTTTAATGGCCGGATAGTTACGTGCAGGGGCTACTCATTTTTCTTCGTTATTTTAAAAACATTGTAATGTTAAGTAGATGCCAGTTATACAGCGTGTCCTGATATTTATTCCTACGGATTCCATGACGCAATTTCTTCGCAACGTGGTGTTTCCATAATCGCGTCTTCTGCGAAATTTATACGTCACTCGAAATTTCATCAAGGGACTTTTTCTTCATGACGTTTATCAAATAATCTCGTGATGAAATTCGTAGGCGTGAATATCCATGCCGTGTTGTCACATCACTTTCACTTTTGATCGTGTTTTCCGCTAAAATTCATGCGTTAGCTGGAATTTGATCAAGGAACATATTTATTCCATTATTCCTCACGGAAAAGTGTGGTGGAGTCGGTAAGAATGGATTTAAGGGCACATTGCACACCAGAATATTAATAAAGATATATTTGTTTCTATGATTAAATAAGCACGTCGTAGGGATATGCTGGAAAGTGGTGTACAGCGCCATGTATTCGTAACTTCCAATGTATGGCAGGGAACGGTGAACTTCACGATCCGGCCGCTTCATTCTGAGAAGAGGCCCCCAGTTCCCATTGTTTACGAGGCTGGGTGGGCCCCAGAGCCGGTATGGACCTTCTCCTCCTGATGCAAACCAAACCGCGCCATACCGATCGCAAATCAGTCGCTATACTGACCGAGCTACACCGGTTTCTTCGGAATGCTAGTGGGGTG